TAACATGCTTTTTCTTCACCTATTGAAATGATCATATGGGGTTTTTTCTTGGTTCTGGCAATGTGTATTACATGTATTGATTTGCATATGTTGAAGCATCCCTGCATCCCTAGGATGAATCCTACTTGGTCATGGTATATAATCTTCTTGGTGATCTGCTTCATTCTGTTTGCCAGTATCTTATTGAGGATTTTTGCATCTGTATTCATTAGGGTGATTGGCCTGTAGCTCTTTTTTGGTTGGATCCTTCCCTGGTTTTGGTAGCAGGGTAATGCTTGCTTCCAGGAATGACTTTGGAGTATTGCTTCCCTTTCAATGTCATTAAAGAGTTTGAGGAATGGTAGCACTGGGTCTTCTCTAAAGTTCTTGTATAATTCAGCAGTGAATCTGTCAGGACCTGGACTTTTCATTCTTGATGGTTCTAAAATTACTTATTCAATGTCATTGACTGACACTGGATTATTTAGAATTTTTATATATTCTTGGTTCAGCTTTGGTAATTCATATGTACCTAGAAATCTTCATTTCTTCTCAGTTTTCCACATTATTGGATATAGTTTCTCAAAGTAGAAAATTAATCATCTTCTGCATTTCAACAGGGTCTGTTATGATTTTGCCCTTTTCATTCCTAATTGCATGGATTTGAGTTTTCTTTCCTTTTTTGAGAAGTTTGCCTAAGAGTGTATTTTATTTACTTGTTCAAAGAACCAACTCTTCAATTCATTGATCCTTTGTATTGTTTTCTTACTCTCAACTCCATTAATTTCTGCTCTGATCTTCATAGTTTCCTCCCTTGTGTGCAATTTGGGTTTAACTTGCTCTTATTGTTCTAGAAGCTTGAGGTCCAAATTAGATTATTTATTTGAGCTCGCTCTGTTTTTCTGATGTTGGAATTCACCATTATAAATTTCTCTAATAGGATGCTTTCATTGCATTCCATAAATTGCAGGACGTCACGTTAGCTTTATTATTTAATTGTAGCAACTGTCTAATTTATTCTTTAAAATTTTCTGTGACACTTTGGTTCTTCAGGAGGGTGTTATTTAATTTCCATGTATTTGGCAGTTTTTGTGCTTTCTTTTGCTATTGATTTCCAATTTCATTGCACTATGATCTCATAATATTCACAACATAATTTCAATTCCTTTGCATTTAACTTAAGCATGTTCTATGATCTAGTATGTGATCTATTTTGGAGAAAGTCCCATGTGCTGTTGAGCAGAACGTGCATTATATTGTTATGGAGTGGAATACTCTGTAGATATCAACTAAGTCCATTTTTCAAAGGGTTGGTTCAACTCTCACATTTCTATATTGATATTTTTGTTTATCTATTTGTGACAATGGGGTATTGAGATTCCCCCATTTCAATTGTACGAGTGCTTATCTGATTTTTCTTATCCATTAATGATGGATTAATGTAGCTGTGTGTGCTTCATTTGACATATAAAATATATGTTGTATATAAATATATATAAATATGCTACATATAAATGTATATAAAATAACAGCACACCCAACTTTTTTTAGGTTCCTGTCCCATGGAGTATTGTGTTCCATGCTTTGACTTTCAGTCTGTGAGGTTTTATTTTTGTTTTTAGTTAAATCTGTTTCTTCTGTACAGTATGTAGATCTTGTTTCTGGATTCATTCTACCAATCTGTCATTTAATTGGAGAATTGAGCCCATTTATATTAATGGTTATAACTGGTATGCATTGAATTTTTCTTGTCATATTATTTTCCCATTGCTTGCTCCCTTTTTTCTTTTCTATTTAATTGCTTGCTTTGTTTGTTGGATTTATTCTATTGGGATTCTTGAAACTGTGTTCAGTGTCTTTCTATAGATCCTTTAAAATTTTGGAGTGCTGGTTTGGTTGTCATGAATTTATTCAGATGTTCTGTAGCATGGAAGTATCTTTTTTCTCCAGCAATTTTGAAAGATATTTCTGTGGGATCCATCAATTTGGGTTGGAGTTTGTCTTCTTTTAGGGCTTGAAGTACTTCACTCCAATCCCTCCTTCTCTTGAGGGTTTGTGTTGAGAAGACTGCTGTGGTTCTGACAGGTTTTCCTTAATAGGCAATTTGCTCCTTTTTCTAACAGCTTTTAATATTTTGTTCTTATGTTGAGTTTCTGGGTTCTTAATTATTATATGCATTGCTACAGTGATAACAAGAGCATGGAAATACCAAAAAAACCATGTGGATTAGTGAAATAGGTGATAAAGACAACCCAGTCACATTCAGCTACAAGATCTTGACAAAGAGGCCAAAAACTTAAGCTGGAGGAAATACGGCCTCTTTAATAAATGGTCCTTGGAAACTGGCTCTCCACCTGGAGAAGAATGACTCTACATCCATATCTCTTATTAGTTATGTACTAAAATAAAATAAAAATACACCAAAGATCTTAATATTGAAACAGAAGCACTTACTCTACCAAAAGATAAAATAGGTACAACTCTTGAAGAAACTGGCGCAGGCAAAGACTTCCTGAGTAGGACACCAATTGCACAACAGATGACATCGAAAACCAACGAATGGAATTGTATTAAATTAAAGGGATTCTACAGAGCAAAGGAAAGAACCAATAGTGCAAAGAGGCAACCTACAGAATGGAAAAACTTGCATTATTATTACTCAGAGAGTGGCAAATATCTAGAAAATATAAAAAACTTAAAAAAGAGTTAAGATATATTAGAATGCAGATTCTAAAATGTTAGACTATATAAAACAAAAGACTCTAAAACAAAAGACAATGAAAAATGGGCAACTAAAATGAACAGACATTTCTCAGAAGAAGAAATACAAGTAGCTAATAAATACATGAAAAATGTTCAAGATCTCTGATTAATAGAAAAATGCAGACTGAAGCAACACTGAGATTCCAGCTTACTCTAGAAAGAAATCAGATAGCAAATACTGGGGAGGCTGTGGTGGAAAAAGGAATCCTTCTTCATTGTTGGTGGGACTGTAAACTTGAATAAACATTGTGGGTTCCTTAAAAATCTAAAGATAGATATTTCTTTTGACTCCACTTTTTCCTTTCTAGGCACCTTGCTGAAAGAGTTAAACATATTATATTACAGTGATACGGGCATATACAAGTTCATAGCAGCCCAGTTCACAATGGCTAAATACTGGATGCACCCTATATGTCCTTTAGCAGATGAACGGGTAAAGAAAACATGGTATTTTTACATAATGGAATAGCACTCTGGAAGAGAGAAAATAAACTTGACTCATCTGTTGGAAAACGAGACCATAATGTTAATTGAAAGAAATTAGACGCACAGACCTGGGCATGGTGGCACACACCTGTAATCCCAGCACTCAGGAGGCTGAAGCAGGAGGATCATTGTGAGTTCGAGGCCAGCCTGGGCTACAAAGTGACTTCAAGACCAGCCTGAACTGCATAGTAAGATCCTGTCTCAAAAAAACCAAAAAATTAGACATATAAACTGAAATATCACATGGTTTCTCTTATATGAGAAACCCAAATATAAATAAAGCAAAAAATAAAAGCTAGATAATGAGGCGGGATTAGAGGAGCAAGGAGGGGATGCAGTAAATGGGAGGGAATCAGAGGAAGAGGATGTAAAAAGAATTAAGATGTATTATGTACACGTGCCAATTTCTCACAATGAATGTAATCATTATGTGCTACATGCATGTACTAGTGAAAAAATAAAATTAGCTTGGGCTGGGAATGTAGCTCCATGGTAGAGTGTTGGCCTACAAGACTGAAAACTGTGGCACTGCGAATTAAATATATACACGAAAAAAATTAGGTCACTTGTTTGCTTGTTCATTGAACCTCCTGTTGGAATGGAGGCCGCATGGCAGTCGACAGCTAAGCGCTTCCAAAGGCACAGTCCTGGCCACCACCTTCAGTCCCTAAGCTAAGGCTGCAGCCCCTCGGCCTTCTCCAGCACTTCCTGCCCTCTTGTTGTCTGTTAGTTTGTGAGGACTGCTGTAGGCAAGTGCTGCAAAGTGGGTGGCTGAACCACACAATGGATCATTTCATAGTTCTAGAGACTTCTGGATGTCTGGAGTCAAAGTCTCACAGGGTCAGGCCTTATCAGAAGGCTCTACAGAAGAATTTTTCCTCATCTCTCTCAGCTTCTGGTGCTTGGCAACAATCCTTGGTGTTGCCTGACTCACAGCTGCCACATTTCCATCTCTGCCTTGCTTGTCACCTGGTCTCTCCAGTTTGGTAACCTTGTCTGTTCTCCTGACCAGTCATGGTGCATCAAATATCCACCCCACTTCAGTATGATTTCTACTAATAATATCTGTAATGACTCTATTTCAAAAATTTTCTCTCTTTTTGCGGTGCTCAGATGGACCCCAGGCCGTGTGTAAGCCGGGATAGTGCTGGGCCACCTAACCACACCCCTATCCCAAAGGTGGTACAGGGAAGCCAGTGAGAAAGCTCTGCGTGTGCTGCCCCTCGGCCACGGGGCGGCGCTGCAGGGGGAGGGCGCGAGCGGAAAGGCGGGCGACGCCGCTCTATGCCTGGGCGCGCGGGAGGCGGGAGGCGCGGGCGAGTGCTGTGAACCGCTGCGTTTCCCGTCTCCGGCTGCCGCCCCCGCCTTTGTGCGCTGCGGCCCTGCGGGTGCTCCACGGAGCCCTTGGGGGTCCTGGCTGGGGCTCGCGTGTGTGGAGGTCTTCCAGCCCCGCTTGCCCGCCCGCGCGGGCCGGAGGGAGGAGGCGGGCGCAGGCGGGGTGCCG